GACTCCGATTCGCTTGAGGAGGTGGTGTCTTCATCATCATCTTCGCCTACATGTATAATTATATTATTATCAATAACAGAATCAATCCTGATATCTCGGTCAAAATGTTCCACAATCAGGTTTTTAGTCTTCTCAACAACCTTTGCTCAGTCATCTCTTGTGACTTCCCCGCAGGCTTCTTTTAATAGGGTCATCATCTTTTTCGTGCTGAATGGCGGGGAAGTATTGTGGCGGGCGGCGTAACCTTTTATTTGAGCCCAGATTAGCTCAATCGCGTTATATTGGCAATGATACGGTGGAATTCTTAGAACGCGATGACCGTACTCCAGAGCCAGTTCATCGATTTCATATCGCACATTTGCCGCTTTATTTTCTTTAACTAATTTAATTAGCTCTGGTTTTAGCATCTGCATATTTGCGTCAATGCCTTTTGCTTGTAACCAAGCCATCATTTCTTCTTTTTTATTAGCTTGGGTAGGTGGTTTCTGTATTTGAACCGAGTGATAGGAGGCATTATCCATGAATATTACAGAAGGCTCTGGTAGGCTGGGCAAAAGCACGTTCTGGACCACTCTTTAAATGTAGTGGCATTCATTTCCTCGTGGTAGTCATTTTTGGTTTTTGATTGAAATGCCAGTAACGCGTTCTCCACAAAGCCGTATTTTGCAGAAACTGCGTGACATATTATCAGACGGGCCCCCTTACCTATTGGTACTTTGTGCCACGCTTTGGTACGCTTGTGTATCATCCGTCCAAGAACGGGAAACCGTGTGATTGGCGTTTAGCCATGTCTCGTGAATGAACACGACATTATCTCAGTTATCAATATTTTTTGCTTCTCCGTTTTAAAATTATGTCGTATGGTTCTAATAAATTTTTTCTTTTGTCTGTTTTTTATACGAAAAACCAATATCTTTTAAGATTTTGGTTAAAGCAGTTTTACCCCCGCTAAACAGTCCAGTTTCTCTTAACGATGCCAAAAGCTTCTTCCTGTTGAGATATTCATTTTTGGAATAGTAACCATATATATGATTTCTGATTGCATCGGCGCCAAAGGTGTCAATATCTGTCACGGGTTTAGTTCTACGTTTCTTCTTCGGAGTACGTAAAATATTATCTTCCGTGCTAGTAGAGCCGAACTTTTTTTAATTAATATTTGTTATCGTTCGTTTGCTAACTCCAAGCGCCTGAGAAACGCGTTCTTGTACTTGTTCGACAGGTAACAGGGGTCCGCCATATTGCCGCTCCCGCTCAAAGTAATCTTGCAGCTTGATGATTAACTCACGGGCTACACTTTTCAATGTCTGTCCACGTTTAGGCATTATTATGCACCAAAAGTAAAAAGAACGCAATACAAAACACAATCGAAATCCGATTTAGCGCCGATGTCAGTTTCAAAAGCAGAAACAGTCCATTAAACGAAAGCCGGGTAATCAAATAAAAACAGAACGAAAACACTTGAAGAACGTGGGGTATGCGCACGAAACGACAACAGACGACTGTTTTAGCGTCACAAAATGGCGTTATGGGCCGCAGTTAACAGTGGTAGAGCCACGCGGCAGCTTTTGCTGTCGCACGGATGGGCCGGCTCGAAGCGGGGTAGTACCACGACCTCACAGAAAACCAGCGTGAAGTAGAGATTTACCTCTGCGTTTCGCTTGGTAAGTGCAGGTGGCCGGAGGCCCTTTTTACTGGAAATGAGGCATTCCATCTTAGTCCTCACGGGTGACAACGCATCTATATTTTGATTTGTAATAGAGGATAGATGTAAATGTATATGGGCCGCAGCAACCACTTACCATCAGGTGGACTGTGTGCTCGTTTGTCACCCTTATTCTATAAAAAAAATTTGGGGTTACCATTTTCAACCTAAATATAAAAATGCTACTTTCTTTCGCGCGTTCGGTTTGGTCGTAGTTTTATTTTTATATTTAATAAAAGTTATCTTATAATCCATTATTTTCAAATTATTAAAAAGAAAATCAAAACGTATTATTTTATAAAGTATAACTGTATAAGAACAGATTACGATACTGTTATTGCCTGTTATTGTTAGCACAGCACTACAAATATAAAGCGCTGACATAACCTTGTAATAGCGCAGTATAGATTTAGAAAAATATTGTTTACCAAGTTATTTGACACTCAGTTTGGCACAAAATTATAACATTCATTGATTATTGATATAATAATGTTGTTTTAATACTCATCAATTGTTAAAACGGTAAACAACCAGCAAACATATTTTTATCGTAACTGCAACGCCATTACAAAGTTACGTCGTCAGTTCAATCGCGACGTGTCAGGAACGCATTCTCTGAACGGCCGAACTTTAGGATATATATATAAAACTATTACAATCGAAATCTAAAGTGGACATGTGTGTGTAATCGTGATTTTATACGCGGACGGAGAACGCGTTAAGCTGCTATTTCTATATTTCATTTTCTTGTTCTGTCATTGCTTATACTTGTAAGGTAGTAGTCAATGGCGTAGGCGTAGCGTGCCTTAGACAGGCCCTATATCAAAATTTATTGGGGGGCCTAAATGAAAGGTAAAGATTTTTCACAAAAGGAACAAAAGGAGCAATGACATTGAAGCCAATGCGGTCGCCTTTGGCGAATGAAGCGGTTTCTGATGCTTGCGTTTTGGATTGGTTGCATTCCAGTAGCGGCAGTTCTGCTTATTTACGTGGCCATTAATGCTAAAATGAGTTTCATCCGAAAACAAAGTGTTGGTAAACCTTTGTAAGCGTTCAATTGCCTGGTTTACGTATTTTAACCTCGGAATGGCCACTTGGGGTTTAAATTTTTGCACCAATTGAATTTTATAGGGGTGCAGCTTTAGATCTTCGTGCAAAATAAGGTGTAGCGATGATCTATGCACATTCAAATCACTTGCACGCTTCCGGATTGAGAGGTCGGGATCATCACGAACAGACCGATTAACTCTTTCCACGTTCTCTTCCGTTCTCAATAACCTTGGGCTCACGGGTTTTGGATTATCTAGTGTTAAACCGGTCTTCTCAAACTTTTTTACCCATTTTCGAATGATAGGAATGCATTGATTGACATGATTTAAGTGACGAAAATCACGAATATTGGAGAAATTTCTTCGCGTACGCCCAACGCGCGAACCTCTCCCGAGAAACGCTCCATGGCGACCACAGAACAATTACTCTCTACCGAGAGATAGCGACTAAATTCTCAAGAGCGAGGCTACCGATTGACATATCCCCCGCGTCCCTCCGAATCATTGCGTTCACGCGGTAAGCTAAACAAATATAAACTTTGTTTTGAAACACCTGGTATATTCTTTTAGTTTGTTTTTGAAGACCGTAAAATTGGACACTTTTATATCTAAAGGTAATTTGTTGTAAATCTGTGCTCCCTCATATCTTGTGTTTGTTTTGCTGTAGTTTGTTCGTGGTTTTGGAAGATAAAAATTATTTGTACTCTTCGAAGAGGTCGGAGGCCTAGATTTTTTTTGGTTTTAAAACGTAATTGTAATTGTCGTTTGTTGTTCATTAATTTTGTTATATTACACATGTAACGGCGGACATTTCCTTTCCGGTACTTAACGTCCTTCGGAAGCTCTTTAATTGTCCTCCATGGTGGTACTATTCCGGAGGCGTGGAGCATAAGTACGGTCGTCTTGTCCTTGAAGAAAGGCGACAACACTCTCTTGAAGAACTAGGGACCGATTTCCCTTTCTGAGCGTTTCATTTTCGAGTCTTTACGAATCGTCTCGCATGCAGACTCAATGACTTCTAGCTAGGCTTGCCAACTCCAAAAAACGGTATTTCCGGGATCACCCAGCTCGACATCCGGGACTTGGGTATATTACGCGGGACACAACACACCACATACAAACTGGTTAGAAAAAAAACACATTGGTTATAAAATTCACTGCATTTTTCATCAAAATTAATGTTAATTTGTAGTTCAGCCTTGATGTGGTCAACAAACAGCTTATTTCTGCTGTCTGTCTATGAATTTCTACAGAGAGAAAACACTCTCTCTGATGATGCATTTGAAAGTGTTATCGAAGCTACGGCTAAGGTGTAGTTGGTACGAGATAGATACTAATATCATATAATCACTGACTTCCGGGACAAAAGGCGTCCCGCAAGGGGTTACGGCGGGATAGTCCAAAATTGACCCAAAACCGGGACGAACCGGAAAATCCGGGACGGTTGGCAAGCCTACTTCTAGCCTCCCGAACAAGCCAATTCCCGAAAAGGCTTTAACACAACAGACCACATACATACTAAATTCGGCAAATTGTATGGAAGACCGAAGAGTATAATCTGCCACTTTGTCTTGCATATGTGAACTATGAAAAAGCCTTTGATTCTGTCGAAATTTGGGCGGTGCCTCGGTCCCTTCACCGGTGCCAAGTTAACTGTCAGTATATCGAAGTGCTGAAGTGCTTGTACAGTAGGGCTACGATGATTATCCGGGTACAGAGCCAGAGTACAAAACCTTTCCATTTGCAGAGAGGTGTAAGACAGGGTGACGTTATATCCCCGCAACTTTTCACCGCTGCATTGGAAGACATTTTCAAGCCAATGTACTGGAAATGATACAAAATTAACAACAATGGCGAGTACATCACTCACCTTCGATTTGCCCAAGATATAGTCCTTATTGCGGAATCGCTGGAGGACCTCAGCTTTTAGGGAAAAAAAACCCTCTCAGAAATGAGAGGATGCCTGTGCCCAGCAGTGGGATGTATATAGGCTATAACTTTTACATATATAACAAATATATATCTCTGACATCTTTCTAGCTTATATTTCGGTCTATACTTTGGATATAGCGTACTTACAATACTCACGTATCTTTTTGGACATAAAAGTATCAATTACCCCATTTTGTCCCATTCTTAGATTTCAAATAATATTAAAAAAAAACTTTAGTAATACTATCAAATTTATTAAAAATAAACACAACGGACGTAATAATTTATACCATCACTGTAAGTTTTTTTTTCGTTCGCTACCAAACTGGCATAGAAGGACCACAGCATCCACAGCAAACTGGCACTCCCGGATAGCTGCAGTACTTTGGTGAACATATGGCGGGTTCAGTGCAGCAGTAACAAGGGCACGGCTTGCAGCGATTGGGTCGACAGCAGGGAATTGCTATAGAATCACAAAGACGTGCAGGTGGAGGTACCGGTCTCGCTGGCTGTAGAAAATAAATGTATTTAGCAAGTTAACAACAATAAAATAAAAAAAATCCTAAACCACAAAGTTGATTAATTTACATTAAATTGATCCATTTTAGTAATTCATTATAATACACGGTTGACTATTACCCGGCTATTATTCGCATCGACGTCAATCATCGAATCAATATCTTAGAGTTATAAAATGCTAAGTGTTAACCCTATTCTAAGAAAAATTACTTCTATGACAAATTTTAGTATAAGTCGTCCAGCCGTCGAAACGCGATTGAAAGACTAACATCTAAATAAACATACTTTTTTATTTATAATATCCATTCCTTTGATTATAATATTAGTGGGATACCGTTATACGCATACTGTGAACACTCAAGTTGTAATTCTCTTCGAAATGATTAATGATTTTTTTTTAAATATTGGATTATTAATAGATAAAAACAACATTTTAAGACTTAAAACGAAAAGAACGTTCACCATTATAATAATATGACTGACTTCAACATTGTAATTACGTAAGTATTTTGCGAAAGATCAAACCAAAAAAGTTCGCAACATAGAAAGCGAGAACAGAGATATTTTTAATAATATTTACAGAATTATTTCTAATTCCAAAATGAACACAAAAACTTAATTTTATTTTATTAACATTCATTAAGTAAAATTTTATCTAACAACTGCATTTATTAATTTTGATATAATAGTTTTTATCAATGAGTTTTAATCTTAATAAAAGTAAATAATAGTAAATTAATAGTAAATCAATATTTATTAATAATAATTAATAGTAAAGTAAACTAATGTAAGACTAAGAAAATAAAAAAGTAACCTTATCACATGGCGGACAAGGAGGTAAGCATGGTAGGACTGGTGGTGGTGGGCAGGGTGCCGGGCAAGGACGTACTGGCGCCGGGCATGGAGAGCAGCCACCTCCAGGGCAAACAGAACAGACACCAAGGTTGTTACACGACGCCACACATGGTTTTGTTGTGTACGGATAACACGCACCGCAAGGTAGTCCTGTGCACACGCATGGGTCAAAACTGTAAAATGGTGCACTCATTTTTTTTGATTTTATGCTATTTATGTACACTATAAAATTTACAAAATATGTCGAAAAGTGTCAAAGAGTTGAAGTTTCGTAAGCGTTTTTTCTACTTTCATAAGTTCAAATTGCATTCTGCCAGCAAATAGTAGTTTGAATTTGCAAACCTTCTTGATGTCTTCTCCTCCGGACCGCTATAAATTTCTTTTATGTTTGGATATAAGATTCAATTTTTAAAATATATTATTGATTTGTGATCAATAATATAATACTTAACAATACCAGGAAATAAAAAGTTTAGTCAAACAAACATAATATGATGACCTACCGCTTGTAGGATAGAATAGAATAGAATATTTTTTTTTCAATATTGATTACAAGTAATTCTTATTAAAAATCATTTCTTTACTTTACCGTTGGTTCGAAAAAAAAACCTCTATCCTGGGAAGAAACAGCAAGAAACTCATCGGGACTTTTTTTTTAAATAAACATAATTTTTAAACAAAAATAAACATTGAAACAGCTTGGAAGCAACCACCTCATTCCCAGGGTTATTATCAACCATGTATTCATTTATATTATAATAACCCTTTTAATACAGTTCTTGTTTAATTAAATATTTAAACTTGGTAATAGAGAGATCTAATATTCTGGGACTTTGTTGTAATAGTATAATATACATTGCCCCATGAATGAATTACTGACTCTGTGGAGTCGAGAGACTGTATCACTAGCTTGTGTTTGTTCCTAGTGTTTTTTTTATAGGATAAGGGTGACAAACGAGCACACAGTCCACCTGATGGTAAGTGGTTCCTGCGGCCCATAGACATCTACATCTATCCTCCATTACAAATCAAAATGTAGATGCGTTGTCACCCATGAGGACTAAGATGGAATGCCTCATTTCCAGTAAAAAGGGCCTCCGGCCACCTGCACTTACCAAGCGAAACGCAGAGGTAAACCTCTACTTCACGCTGGTTTTCTGTGAGGTCATGGTACCACCCCGGTTCGAGCCGGCGCATCCGTGCGACAGCAAAAGTTGCCGCGTGGCTCTGTATATCACTTTTTTTTACTAAAACTATCTTTGTTTTTGTGAACATACATTAAATTTTTGTAAATATACTGAGAGGCCAAAGGTAATATATTTATTTTTTTAAATTTTTCTAAAAGTGACTCTCTTGTTTAAGGTTGTAAATAGCTTTTATGGCCCTCTTCTACAAAACAAAAATAGTTTCTAAATCAGCCGCATTTCCCCATAGCAAAATGCTATGGAAATAACTGAAATAAGCTAACCTAGCTGTCTCGACACTAGTGAGATCTCTAATCTGTTTTACAGCATAAGCTGTAGAGCTTAGTCTGCTTGCTAGTTTTTATATATGGGGCACCACTAAAGCTTTGCGTCGAGAGTGATGCCAAGAAAAACAGAGTATTCAACAGGGTTCAGTTCTTCCCCATTTAAAACTCATTGGTATTCAGATTTTTAATATTCGTTGTTGTAAATTTAATAAATTTAGTTTTATTGCCGTTTAAATGTAGTTTATTAACGTTGCACTAATTTTGATATAGCATTATTCACTTCGTCACATTTAAATGATAGAAAAGTTTAAAAATCAAGGAAGTATCATCAGCAAATATTACTATATCATGACTATCCCCTACAAGGGAAGGTAAGTCATTAATATACATTAAAAATAGGCATGGGCCAAGAATGACGTAACGTAAACGAGTATGCGGCTCATCTGATAGTAAATGTCGAACGCCGCCCATGAACAACTGCAACACCAGGGGAATGGCAAGGGCGTTGCTGGTCTTTGAAAAAGGAGTAAGCTCTTTTCTTGAAAATCTCTAATTCGTATCGGTCCGGAAAAATCGCCGAAAGTAAGCAATTCCACAAAAAGTCGTGCGAGGAAGAAAATTCCTAGTAAATGATGATGTGCGTTGATAGAATTTGGCGGCTGGAATTAATCCGAACAATTCCTCAGAATACTCCCTGTGGTAAATGCGATAGAATGCAAATACTAATAAAATGCAAAGGGATGCACTCTCATGTAGGTAAGTGGTGGAGTAAGAATATCACTACCCTGTGTCATCCTTTGGTTGTTGGAAAAGGCGACAGAGGGAAACTGACTCAGGATATAGGCAGCAGCATCTTCTTGATAAAAGCTTAAAAAAATTCGGTTGCTATTCTAGAGCTGGAGGTAGAGGATAGACAAGTTACACGTAACCGTTACTTGTTACTGTTACATCCTATTAAAATCCACTGCTGAACATAGGACTTCCCGTAGATTGCTTCATAGGGGGGATATTTGCCATAGTTGCCATGCTTGGCAAGCAGATTGGCAACCACGATTTTTATTTTTAGTCTTTATTAGTTACACTGGTATGTTATGTGATTATCTGACGTCCGAAGACGAGAGGACACATTAATTCTCCAATCCGGTAACTTGCTCTATCACCGGGAGGGCGACCATCTGCCCTTATTAACTTTTTATTAGTTATTTAGTTATGTCTCTATAATCGCTAGGGAGAAAACCGGCAGCGATTACTGAATAGTTAGAGTTATACTGAATCTGAACATCAAACTAATATCCTTTCTAATGAAGTCAATACTTAGAACTACTCTTAGACTGATTCAGAATCCTCATGGCTTTCAGCTCGAGCTACAAAATTGTTTCCAGTGCCATTAATATGGTGGACGATATTAATGACTTCGAAAATATCCCCGCAGCAGTAACCAAAAACTCTCCGATCTATTTTGCTTTGATTGGCTGCTAGACGTGAATTGAGACTTCAATTGGTACGTCCGTCGGCTTACAAATCTCTAAAAGTATACTTACGCAGATTTCATACAGCTCTAAAGTCTTCGCCAAAAATAAGAAGATAAAAATAAAAATCATTTACCTGTTGTTCATTTTACTTGTACAAAATTCTTGTACAAAAGTGCAAAGAGTTTTTATTTGATATCTGAGATATTAACTTGTAAAATGTTTTAAAAATAAAAATCAATAATATGTCAATATTTTTTAAAAATTAGTAATTTAAACATAAAAACATAATTTATTAATGATTTTATTAATGTAAATTCCAAAGTAAAAATTGCAAAACTAAGAACGAAAACAAAAAGAGATAAAGGAGCCTTTGTAATTTTAGTTAAAAATGTGTTCTTCATGCTTTTGCCCAACTTGTCCGCCAACTATACCATGTGGTGTTGGTTGTTGCTATTATTCCTGTCCACCACCTCCAGCCTGTTGCCAGCCATGTTGTCCGCCTCCGACACCGTGCACGCCATGTCCGCCGTGCACATGCAAACCAGTATTTCGACCATGTCCAGCGCCTATTATTCCTGACATAGTACCACCAATTGTTCCAGTATTGCCAGTTTGCAAACCACGCCGATTACCACCGTGTGAGCCACCTCCACCCCCACAGCCGAAACCAGTTTGTTGTCCTCCAGTGCTACCATGCTGTCCTCCCCCGGAACCATGCGATCCTCCTCCGGTAATATAATTAATTTATTACAATAATCATTGAACTAGTGAGCAGAAAATGCTTGTAGGCTGTTAAACATTTGTATAGATAATGGTGATATGACGTGAACAAAAACAATGAACAAAAATGTAGGTTTTCTTCATGTTTCACACATGACATGTCAATCAATGATTGCCAATTTTCGTTCAATGAACGCAACAAAGCTATTATGTAATTTATCAAAATTAAAATATTAATATGTGTTCGTATAGTGGCAGCGAAAAAATGTACTACCCCATATCATCTCGTAGGTGTCGTAATAGGCGACAGAAGAAGACTTAAACGGAAGATGGGCTACAGCATCTTACTGATAACATCTCAAAGGAATAGAAACACTCCAGCGAAGTATGGCAAATATAGCTTTGATAGGCTATAATAATGATAAATGACGTTGTGTTTCGTCAGACTAAAGGGCTGAAAATTTGAATTATTATTGTTCCGTGCCATCAGCCAGCACTTAAAATTATTATGCTGTTTTTGCAATGAGTGGTGGTAGCCGATTTTTAAAGCAGATAATTTTTGCACCTTTATATTTCTGAATATAAATTTCTGAATATTTTCTGATTATTTTGACGTTCCATTTCGTGCTACAACCATAACTAGCCGTGCTGTAGGTAAATTATGGTTGAATAGACCAGATAATATGTAATGGCACATGGACACATGAGTAAAGAAACCGTGCCGTACAGAAGCAAAACTTTATACAATCGCGCTATGATAATTACTCTACTACAAGCGTGACGCGCGAGTGTGCGTGAGCACTGGCGGCTCGACATGTACACAGAGAATCTGCTCTAAACCTGGTCGGCCAGTGCTCAAACTCAGGGTGATGTTAAGAATAATAAGTGTCAAATTTTGTAATCTAAAGAATTAATATTCGTATCAAATGAAATATAAAAAACTGTTAATTGGTTTACTCTACTGTTTGTATGAATATTAATAGAACGAATAAAATAGGTATTTTATTTTTTATTATCTTGAAGGCTCAACTAGATAAGCAGTAACTTAATTATTTATATATTATTAATTATAATTTATTATTTTTAATGTGGCAGATTGATACCTCATACATTGAAAGAAAACGTAGTAGTTAGTACCTATAAGTGATTGAATAGTTATTTTTATAATGTTTATAATTGAATAATTACGATTATAAATTAGAAACGTAGGATCTTGTTTTTTATTATAATTTCAGATGACAACAGTGGTAAAAAGCCAAAGACATTTAAGTACTAGTAGTAAACCTATATATTTAAATCTCTTTGTAAAAAGCTATCGGACGAGAGCATCTGCTTTCAAAACTTTTTCATTATAAAAAAGGCAACAATATAGAATCTGTGAGGATCACTTCAAAAAAATCCTGTATTAAGTTTTCTAAAAAAAACATTGTAAAATATATATAAGGAAATGCTTTTCCGAACTTGCCGACAAATGACGATGCTTGTTCGAGTTGCAGCCAATGTGAGAAGAAATCTGAAAAGGATGTATGAATTGCTTGAGCAAACATTTTGCAAATATTTTGTTCTCAAAAGAAATAGGTATTGTAAATTATATTGATAATGAAATATTAAAACGTGCGCAAGATTGTATATTTTGTTATGACATGTGAGTGCTTTCCAATAGATTATTGAAAAAAAAAACTTTACATTAGATTATAATTTACCATTTAATTAAAAGGCACAACAAATTGTCGAAGAATAATTTAAAATTAAAAATTTTGTACAGCCGACTTCAATATAAATTATTAAGAGTAACTCAAAAACTATTCATCTGACCTTGATCAGATTCCTATGGAACCACATGTGAAGTACCAGCTTTCAAATAAAAAATGAATCATCGAAATCGGTTCACCCAGTAAAAAGTTGTGAGGTAACACACATAAAAAACATACAGTCGAATTGAGTACAGTCTCCTTTTTGAAGTTGGCATACAAAATGATAAAATATGATATTTAGATTAAGTACTTTGTAAAAAAATATTCTATCTTAAGCATATAACAAAAGCTGATAAACCGTTTATTGAATATTATCCTCAATCCTATCAAAATAGGTAAACATTTTGACAGCTCCTTAGAAGCTTTGCCTCTGTACTCATGTGGTTAATGGTTACTTTTGACATTATACATTAACGCGCGTCGCGTTTCATTTTTCGCTTTCATGACTTAATGTAGCGTAGCCACGAAATACGAACTAACACTTTTGTACGGGGTGTTATTTTTAATTGTTTATAACACGGGCTTACAATATGTCGAAATTAACATTCTTGTGTTTATTATTTCAATGATAATAATGTATTGTTCTAAAAAGAAATAAAATATCTTATTTAATTTACAGGTGTGTCCTTGCCCGGAACCAACGCCTTGTTACCAGTCGGTTCTACCTTGTTGTAATCCGCAATGTCCCCCTCCTATAATTCCCAAGCAACGGCCAATTTGTCCACGGCCTCCACCTTGCCCGTATCCTTGTATTCCTGTGTGTCGCAGCTGCTGTCCTGATTGCGAACTGGACCCAGTGACGCGAAGAAGACCGTTAATAGTAAATGACAGTGTATTCCAAAATAGACCTTCTGGTCTACCTGCAGAATGCTTCACTCGTCGAAATCCAAACGTGCGGTATTCTGTATCTAATTATGTAAAACAGGTTAGCTTAAAATTTGTATCTGGTCTTATTTATTCCTGAGGTAACCAATTGATTCAGTCGAGTTATGACACAAAATAAATTATGAGTTCACACAAAACTTGTACACCTCTTCCAGCAAGTGTTGGTCAGCATAGGTCTGGTTGTTTCCGAAAAGGTAGTTTTACTATCTGTAGATAGCGTCGCGCGACTTTTCTGGTAATTTCTTTAGATGACTTTGAGGACAATTCTGGGATGAGAGATGTGTGCTAGCTTCGCTTACACATCTCTCATCCCAGAATTACATTATTTTTCGTTAATATTACCTCCATTCCGCTCAGTGTGACGAGCGTGATAAGAAAGGCTCTACAGCACTTTAAAAACGGCAAAGCACTATGTGAGGATGGAATTACAGCAAAGTATTTAAAAAGAAATGGAGAAGCACTAAAGTTCTTCAGAAGATATTTTATTCACTATTCTCATTCCTTCTGAACCGCATCTACGTGCTATTTTTATTACGTATCGTCTCTCACCCAGATGCAAATACTTCCAACCACTCACAAGTAGGTTTCCAAAAATCTTTTGTGCCACATACCTACCCTTCAGTAGGATATATAGAAGAATGAAGAGAATTTGTTATATCTAGCGTTTGTGGGCTATGAGAAAGCCTTCGATTAAGTCAAAAATTGGGCAGTGCTACAATATCTATGTAATTAATCGGTGTCTAGGTACTAAAGTGTTTGTACAGTAACCGAGTAGGGAACCAGAGTATGAAATCTATTAAACTCAACAGAGATATAAGACAAGGTTTCGTAATATCCCCGAAACTCTTCACTACTGCATTGCAAGATATTTTTACTTTTTTTTTAGACATTAAACATAACAGAATCCCTGGAGGACCTTAGCACTATGCTCAATAATCTCAACAGTGTGTCCCTACGGGTAGATTACATCTTCAATGGTAGATCCTGGGAGCAAAACTCTCAAGGCTGTTGACGAGTATGCTTACCTAGGACAAAATGTCCGTTATCCGGGAAATCGCAACAAATCTTATCCGACATACCTCAGAACCTTAAAGCAAAAGCGTACGACCGGCGCATGTTGCCAGTAATGACTTACAGAACCGAAACTTAGTTTTTCATTGCGGTGGATCTGAAGGCTGAAGTGACAATGGGCCAGCCGTATAGCTCGAAGAACCCAATGGGGAAAAGAGATTCTCGAGTGACTATCTCGTAATGGCGAGCGCAGTGTTGGGTAACTACTACCCCACTAGATGGAGTGATGCCCCGAGGAAACATGTTAGGAAATCGATGGATTCTGATGGCTTAGGACCTTGCTTTTTGTAAATAAACATACTCCACCATAGTTCAGCAGTGAATTTGTAATAGATGGGCTTTAATGATAATTATGGTGATGATTTTAATATTAGCCCATATTTGTAGTCATGCAGAAGCCTCAAATCAAAATGTAAATTGTAATAAATATTTGTCAATAAATATTTTTTTAAGCCGCTTCAATATAAAGTAGGAAATATTATTTTAATTAAAAATGTCATTCAATTTCAGGGACCGCAGGCGGGATGTGCTTATGCAGTAAACGTGCCCTTAAGATAGCAAAGGATTTAAATGAAGTTATAATTTAAAAATATAGTGTGTCATGTCAATTAAAGCAATTTTTAGATAGCATAACTTTTTATTTGTTGACTAGCTGTCCCCCGCGTCTTCGCCCGCGTGGAACTTACTACGATTTCATGGGTTTTAATTTTTTTTGCGCGGAAACCTTATTATTTTTCTAAAATAAAAGTATCCTAAGTTACTCCTTATAACATCAGCTATCTGCCAGTGAAAGTCCCGTCAAAATCGGTACGGCCGTTTTGGAGATTAGCCGGAACAAACAGATAGACAGACAGACAAAAATTTTAAAAATTGTTTTTCTTTTTTGTAATTAGTACCGTTTATACTTTCATATGAATTTAGTAAAAAGCTGTTATTATAACATTAAAAAATAGACACTTCAATTTTATTTATCTGTATAGCAGTAATAACTACAAATAGCCTTGCTTTTATCCGGTAGAAATGTTTTTAAACTGCTAAATATTATTTACCATAGACTAATAACGCTCTGAGCGCGCGATGACTTATCATTAATCTATAATTATTTACATTCGTAAAAAGTGGGCTGGAATAAACTTTTGATAAGGAGTAAGTCGAACGAACCAATGATGTTCATTGGTTCTTTCGACTTACTTGATCAATGTGGAAGCTTAGATCATAGCAGAAACTTAATTTTTTAAATAGAAATAAGGATGTCAAGCGAGCATACAGTCCATGATCTAAGAGTCAGTGAGCGGCAGACATCGGTATTTCAATAAGCTTCACGTTTTTTTTTCAGTTAATTCCCTATACCTGAGGTACATGAAAAGGGGACTCTATAGTTTGACCGGCGGTTGATATAGAAACGCTCAGGTGTGAAAGGTGTAAAGACGGCTATACATGTTGGTCGAGCGAAGGCGAACACCAACATACAGACAGCCCACTTGTCTAGCCTCGCCATTGCTCGTCGACGCTCGCCTAGCTGGCCGAGTGCAGGTGAGCGCCAACGTGTTTACGGTTCGTTGGGCGTGCCTGGCTGCCACTCGGGATCGCTCGTTACTGACTCGTCCACTTCGGAACAGTGTCGGTTTTTCTGCACAAATGAAAGGCGCTCGCCTGCACTCGGCAAGTCGCGTCCACATGTTAGTCGGCTATGTTTTAATTAATGTTGCAACTTCAAAGTAATTTCTATAATGTCACTGCTTCTTCTTTTTGCGGAGGACACTGACATGATAATTATATGCACTCATTAAATATTAGCAGAAGCTGCAATAACTTCTACGTCGTCCATATCGTTCCAATTCTCAATAAAAACTAATTCGGCAAACATGTGGATAGCCCACAAAAACTCATTAACATTGGCAGTTGGCATTGGTGTCTTTCGAACTTGACCAACGTGTAGACTGCAGCACTCGCCTTGTATCAATTTATCTACGCTCGCGTTGGCTGAGGCTTGGCCAACATGTATTGCCGGGGTAAAAAAAAATTACCGCAAAAACCTGAAAGTAATAAGTCTGCCGCTTTGACATCTTGAAATATTCAATAAATGTTACTGAAAAATAACATTGGCAGACACCTATGGCGGTTCCAAGGTCATGACAGATAGATACAATTTTTTTTTAATAATTTACGTTATTTCAATAAAACTGCAACTTATATATGTTGTTGATAATATTATTTGATATAAATATTTTGCATGGCAGACTTATTGAGGTTCTATCACCCAGGCAGACAACGAACTTCATTGGCATCCATAAGCGCGTAGGTACTATAGCACTCGCTCTAATCCAGTCTTTTTAGGGTTCCGTAGTTACACAACAAGGAACCCTCATAGTTTTGCTATGCCCTGTGTTACCTGTCTATGTCCGTCCGTCCGGACATCGCGGGAACATCGGGCGAAAGGCTAGTAGAGTATATTCATTATTCACACGAATATATTTTTAATATATATATTGCTTAATATCGTCATAACACTAACCTAAAACGCTTACGTAAATTTATACCTGTGTGACCAAATATATTTTTTTATAGAATAGGGTGACAAACGAGCATACAGTTCATCTGATGGTAAGTGGATGCTGTGGCATATAGACATCTACATTTATGCTCAATTAAGAATCAAAATTCGGATTCGTTGTCACCCCTGAGGACTAAGATGAAATACGTCATTTCCAGTAAAAAGGGTCTCCAGTTCTCTACACTCACCATACGAAACACAGCAGCTACTATTCTAAACCAGTCGACCCATTCGTGCTGAAACCACAATGTAGCTGCAGCGTGGCTCCACCACGTAAAATATACTTATATTAAAGGAATAGGTTTTTCAAAAGAACTACAAATGCTGTTAAATAAGAGTTATATATATTATTAAAGATACATATTTTCAATTGGCAAATATTACTTTTTCCTTGATGGAGTCTTCATTTTTCTTTTTTTTCATCGATTCTCATTTTTACATTATTTGCGTGTGGCAGCTATAAATGTTGATGCATGGGTTCAAAGTATAGCACCTTTGTATTGGTGGAATATTGCTTTGACACACATAGGGTCCTTGTGGTCCACATGTATTGGCAATTGGTAAACACGTCGCTGGCACGTTAGTCATTCCGCAGCTACCCATGTTTCTCTTTATTATGGTTACTTAAAATTTAGAATAAATGCAATAGTGAGGCTAAGTTGTACTTTGAACAAATGAGAGATTTCTTTTAGTTCACCGTTATTTATAATCCGTGTTATGTAACGCCTGCCTGATTTATCAAAAAATATTTTGTTTTTTTATCTAGTTGGTTGAGGATCTAGCTTTACATTCACGTGGGCTACACATTTTATATTTTGTTTTAATTGAAATTACGCAATATGGACATTAGAATAAAAAACAAATAAATTTGTGGAATTAAACGAAAATTAATGTACTCATATCATCATTATATTGCTTAAACCTTTCTATAAGAACTTTTGTAAGAGGCTAGGGTTAGGCTAAGATGACCATTACATTAATCGAGAACGAGTCCGTAGTAATGCTGTTGTTATGAAGGTCTTTGGTCTCCTGGAGATTTTAATGGGCGGGCTGTTGAAAAGTATGTTGTCTGACGCTGCGTCCATACGCTATATGGTATGTATACTGCAAATTTGTATCTCATTAGAATCATCACCGCAGGCCTTTATTTTGAGACCTTAGCATTGAAGTTCTATGGCCTAAAACACGTTGTTGTCATAATGTTCCTCTTTTCACCGATATTCTGGAACACTAGCTTATTACAGTCCCGATGGTGGTGATCCTTAACTAACCCCTCTCGCTATTATTTACCTCTTTCTGGGTTTCTTGCTGGTTTAACCCAGAGTATAGACTTTTCCCGAACGAGTGGAAAAAACATAAATAACTTTCAATACGTATTACTTGTAACAGTGGTAGAGCCACGCGGCAGCTTTTGCTGTCGCACGGATGGGCCGGCTCGAACCGGGGTAGTACCACGACCTCACAGAAAACCAGCGTGAAGTAGAGGTTTACCTCTGCGTTTCGCTTGGTGAGTGCAGGTGGCCAGAGGCCCTTTTTACTGGAAATGAGGCATTCCGTCTCAGTCCTCACGGGTGACAACGCATCTACATTTTGATTTGTAACAGAGGATAGATGTAAATGTCTATGGGCCGGAGCAACCACTTACCATCAGGTGGACTGTGTGCTCGTTTGTCACCCTTATTCTAACATTTTTCTATTCGTCATAATTTGTCACTTCAATCCCTCATACATCAGTCGGCGGAATAGCCTATGTTTGTTTTCTAGGTTTTAATTATAGGCTGAGGGGGTATTGACAGTTTATTATTCGAGGCCCGTCTATTTGCCGGCCGCAGATGATATATTTGTCATATTTTTCTCTTCACAATTTTCTCGTGCAAACGGTCGAGAGACAAGAAACATTGGAATGTTTCATTTTTCGCAAGGTGATCCCACTGTCGTCCACAACTTTTCGCCTTAGCTAACAACCTTATTAAAATCTTAGAGCGGGATATCTTGTATAGATATTTGATATTTGTAGATTTGTCTGTCGAGGGTAAATTCTGAACAAAGATTTCACCCAAAAGTTTTGACTTTTGTTAAAAAGTAAAAGCCAACTTTAAAGAACTAAAATATATAAAATAATTTTCACATAATTTAGCCACTGATGCCGGTGATAAGACATAGTTTAAACACGTTCTTAACTTCGCCTTTAGAAACATGACTTTATATGTGGAAATTATTTCATTCGTTTGAATTGTTTAAAGGAAGGTGGTGAGAGTATCCTTTACAGTATTTAATACCATGGGAAAATCATTGTTTAACAGAGCACGTTGATTTTCAGCACGTCAAGCAAATCTTGCATGACAACACGCTTCGGCATCTTAGGCGGGGTACGCCTTCGTCTCAGTGACCGACCACAGTCGAGCGTATGCCTGCTGTACTACCATATATCAGAGGTATCACAGGCAGTATTAGCGACCAAGATGTAGCTAATCGATCTTCCATTAATTAAAGAAGTTTAGATTAGTCAGTTTACCATTCTTCAAGTGTTATATTCCTCTGCAAGATGCAGGATTGTACAAGCTTGATTGTGAATCTGGTCTCTCTAATAAACGACAAACTAAAAGATCAATAAAAACCCGCGTATAGAACATATGGCTGATGTAAAGAATCGACGCTTCGGGAAATCTGCAATCGGTGATTTACATTAGATTTAATAAACTACAAATCCTCACAAAAGAACACCGATTCCTACGAAGGATGATTCATGAGGCTATTGAAATTTAAAAAAAAACATCCTAATTTCAATGGAAAAGATGGCTGAATGCTATCATCTGCTTAAGATCTTATAACTATTAAAATTAAATCCCAACCCAAGCATAGCACTGCGAGATTTCAAGTTTCAATACTATAAGTTCTTCCTGCGTAGTAAATCAAATAAAAATAATATACTACTAATGGGATGACTATTATTTCACGTGCAAATTGCAGGATACATTGTTGGCACTCAAAAAACTGCTGCATA